AAATAGAGGTTTGATTATTTTGACTGAGTCCAATGAAGGAAATCAGAAACATACTTTTATCCCATAATTATAATTTGAGAACCTAATGGTATATTAATGCCTCTTAATATGAATGATGTGATGAATTGGTATAATATAATGGTATTTAGTCATTTTCAAGTGATTAATGCATCAGGTCCCATGATGCATGAAGTATTGTACACGTAGAGCACAATCATGGTTGGTTACACAGAGTCGATAGTAGCAAACGTCTACCGGTGCAAGTATTTTGTAAAGGAGAGAGATAGGGGTCACTGTTGATAGGGTGTACTTCAGAGCATGCAAAGCACTTGGAATGTCAAACCAACAAGTATATGGTATAGTAAATAAATCAAAGAAGGTAAGTTCCGTATCAGTAAAGCTTCAGTAGGTAGAAAAAGAAAACTTGATAGTTTTGATAAGGGACTTATAAGACGTATGGTCTACAAGATGTACGAGCAGGAGGTGCCTCCGACATGTAAACAAATTCAGTATGAAATTAGAGAAATGACAAATGTTTCACAAACTACGCTCATCATAGCTCTGCATGAGATGGGGTTCAAATACACCGCACTTGGGGACAACAGGGGGGTGTTCAGGGAAAAGTATTCTATAATATCCATACATTCAAATTACCTGCGTACCATTCATGACCACAGATGTCTCGGATTCCAAATCATTCACCTTGATGAGACATGGGTCAACAAGAATCATTCTACTGATTACATGTGGTTACTGTCAGATAGGCATAACGCATCCATGGTCCCGTTAGGACAAGGTAAACGTGTCATTTAGTCTGGTCATTTTGGTCGAAATAAATGGCCAACCTCAAGAAAATTGCAACAGAATTAATTCATACTTTATGTTATTTGGTAGCATGTCAGCTTTCAGGGAAAAAAAGTCTACCAAAATCAACTCATGGGAATGACCTTTCTCAAGGTCACAAGATATAGGCCTATATAATTCGTATTTTCGTATTCTTGGATATTTGTAGGAAGGAAGAGATTCAAATTTATTATAGTTTTCTTTCTAATATAACTAATTTAAAGAACAATCTGGGTATACAACTTTTATTTACTTTATAAATAATATCACAGGGACAATTTAATTCATTATAATAGTTTAAGGTCAAATAGAGGACATATATGAAGAGTGGCCGAGAAGTTAAATGTTGCCATAGATTTTCAAATATTGGAATGAAGTCATACATATTATATTCAAATGTAAGATAATCACACTTCATATATCATTTTAAGAACTTAATGTACTAATTGTGGAAGAAATAACCTAAATGTGTGTATGTGTGTGTGTGTGTGTAGGGGGTGGGGGGGGGGGGGGGGACAGTCATACATAGCCATTAATAATTGTAGCCAGTGACAGTCTGAGGTAACAATGAGCAAGCCTCCAAGCCTCCGACTGAAACATTTGCTATTTTATGTTATTTGGATGCAAGTTTTGACGTTTATATAATTCCAAAGTCAATGGATGATTTTGATAAGTCAAGTGTCCTTCAATACAAGTTTTACAATTTCGTACAAGTAATACTATTTTGTCCGTAGAAACGGGTCGTTGCAGAATGTTCCTTTGATTGAGTCTGCCCGAATTGTGACTTGCGTACAAGGGGGAAATGAATATCACATGTTCCAGTATACTTGTTTTAGATTTGAAAGAAAATTATAACCAAACTATTGTCGTATTAATCCCAACTTTTATAAACTCTGATGCTTATTCACAACTACTGATAGTTGAACACTCATTCGTTTAAGTAAATATATTGGTTGCATATTTCAGAAGTTACATTTTTTGTTGTTTTATAATTCCGCACTCAGGAATATTGCAGCTATAATAATATTGCGGCCAGTAAATAATCGAGTCTGGTCCAGACAATCCAGTGATTGACATCATGAGCAGTGATCCACGCAATTGGGATCGATGACATGCATCAACCAAGTCAGCGAGTCTGACCACCCGATCCCGTCAGAAGTCGCCTTTAACGACAAGCACAGTCTCCTTTTACGGCAAATATATAAGATACTATGATGTTGTTGTGCTAGATGTAAATAATATAACGTAGCTGTAGTTTCGAAAGATAATCCAGTAATAAAACACTTACAGAACAATAATCATCTTTAATGTCAATTATATCATGTATGCTATTTCTCAAATCACTTTAATACATTGTAATTTGTATGTGTATCATGTTTGGGAGAGGCATTCAGATAAGCAAAATTTGCTTGTTTGCCAATCCCTCCACTTTATGTAAATAAATATGTTAATATCATAAAGAACTGGAACTTGGTAACGCATGGGTAGTTGGCCGACTATAGTCTATTCTGGTGAAAGGGGCCCCGGCGAAACTCATGTCAGCCGGTTATCTATTACTGTCGCTGATACGCTGAGTGAACACAGGCTATACTGACTATAGATTCATTTATTTTAGTGAGCGAATCTATTCAATTTGAGTATAAGTGTATTGAGTGTCAGCTTAATGTGGAAGGAAAGCCCGAAGTGATGCAGGTCTTCGGTGAAACCCACGAGCACGGGTATGGTGCTGACAAACCTAGAAACGTAATCGGGGCGAACCGGGATTCGAACCCACAATCATAGGTTTCTGGGGTGCCCAAGGGACGCAACTCTGCACAGCGAATCACGGCGCCTTAGACGATTGGGCCACCCGTGCCCCCGAGAGCAATCCCTAATGGAATGTCCCTAGATCTTTGTTTGGCGGTAGCGAGTACAAAGATTTGATTTTAATGAGATTGCCCCGAGGGACACCAGAAATGGGCTTCACGCATTGCACCCATATGGGGAATCGAACCCAAGCCTTCGGCGAATAAACACACAAGTGCCTCGCTGTATTCCAAACAATCTTTGGGGACAGTATTTGGTCTACTCCTGCTACAAGTTTAGTTTCAAGTCAAGAAACGGAGACTGGCCACTGGCACTGTTGTCTGAGATCATGCTGTTCCAGAATGGTAGCCGTAATTCTGAAAGAAGAAAAATATCTTACAGCATCGTGCCAAAAGAGAGTAAAGTTGTTTAAATTGTTGGATGAATTTATAAAAGACAGGAATATGGTTATCGGTCCTGTTTAACACACATTTCTCTGCTGGTGCGGCCGTAGTTACATAGCAGACAACGCTATACAATTTATGGTTGATGGGCATGTTAGAAGTATATTGGAAGCCAACTGCTATTATTTTCATCATTATCTATTACATTTTTAAATAAATGTGTATTTGTCAACTTACCATAAAATAATACGGCTCCGTTTTCGTTGTTTTTTTTCTGAATATTTTCCAAGGCACTAGCAGGATCACTACGAATTATCTCCCTTTGCGGGCTCTTCTTGATGTACGGCAGCCCGTAGATGCCTTATTGTCCTCGTTGGTTTTTATCTTTTTTGATGCAGGAATTAACCATTTTCCCGAAGGTTGATTTTGGTAGACTTTTTAATACAAACTCAAATACATTCAATTAAAAGGAAACAGTCGTTAAATATTCTGTTGCAATTTTCTTGAGGTTAAATTACAGAATGACCAGACTAATTGTGTTACATGCTGGAACCTGTGGGAAAAGACTCAGTGACAGGTGTGCCTTAGTCTTTGAAGCTAAAAAGGCTGGTGGTGATTATCATCAGGAAATGAATGAGGAGGTGTTCTTACAGTGGATGGAAGACCAGCTTCTACCGAATCTGAATAACTCAGTGTTATTGTCTTTGACCACGCCTGTTATCACAACATGTGTGAACCAGGTACAGGCATGCCAACCTTGAGCACTGTGAATGCATGGATGCAAGGTAACCTAACTTCTTGCAATGTCATATTCAAACCATCTGACAGCTTATGGACCAGATCTGACTGAACAAAACAACCATTTAATACAGGGTAGTCAAACTAGTAGAGCATCATGGTCACATCATCATACGTTCACCCATCAGACACTGTGAGCTTAATCCAATAGAGTTCATCTGGGGCAAATGCAAAGGAGGTACAGCTATGAATAGCACAAACTTCAGTCTGAAAGATGTCAAAACCATCATACATGCTTCTTTTGCAAGAATTACTCATGAAGTTTGGCAAAAGGCTGAAGATCATGTCCTTGACATTGAACATCAGTACCACAAATGTGATGGAGTTTATACTGGCCTCGTTGCCTCAGTCATCATCTCGTTGAATGACACTACCACCGATCTGGATTCTTCCTCTGACGAATCAGATATTGAGCTGTAATGATACTTCTGTGATGACAAGATACTTTGTCAGTCAGTTCTGCCAAAAGGATACCAATTGCTTGGGCGTCACATAGTATTGAAAGCACAATTTATATTTCAAAATGTGTTGTGCTAATTTTATTCTATTTTGTTTTCTACATATCGCACGTTAATATCATAAAATCAGTACATCTTGGAGCATTTTTGTATTTAAACTGAAACTATATTGCATATTCCAAAATGAAATCTCACATCACTCGTTTAATCAGTGAATCAACATTCCATGTACATTCTGTTATCCCATCATTAAGATAACTTACAATTTTCAATGGTCGTAGAACAATTTTCAAGGGTTGCAGTCTTTACAATTTCAAATGTTAACTTAATATTTTCTATCTTTATTCACCATTCACCCCTTTCGTGAAATATTTGCATTTTAATTTTTTGAGAGTCTCCCCAATGCATCGCCTGTAATTATAGTCTATTTCAAACAACTTGGTACACCACTGGTTTTGTTTGAAGTTTATCGTAATCTTCTATTGTTCTGTGGAAATTTGACATTGCTGCCAGTTATTGTTCTGTCTGCCACACACATTTTATTGACATTAGATATTGATCCTCCATGGATTTCTTTCATATGGCCCCTGGGAATACTTTTGGCATATGTCATGAAAAGGTCAAAGGTCATGAGAAAAAAAAAACACCTCACAAAACAGTTTTGTAGGTACACTTTCTCAGAAAGCCATAATGCATCCTAATTTCATTTCAGGGGTATTGTAAGCATGAATGAAGGTCAAGAAATGGTGCATCAAGTGAACACCAAGCGCCAGGGGACGTGGGCTGATAGTGATGTGGAAAAGACTCTAAAGAGCATCCTTAACTTCTGCAGACACCATGGTGGTTTGTATATGCAGCATAGTTACTTCAAATCTTTCAAGTTGGCTGTCAGAGGGTACTGTGAAGGATTACTGACATTACAGGATATCCCACATTGGACTTCTTCGTAATACCCGTTGAAATTCATTTGGCATCTCATGGCCTGCTTGTCCAGCATATATCTTCCGTTGTGTGATGTGCATCATGCTTTGTCAATCACCTGTCATAAATATCTTCTCTTCAGAAACCGCTGAATCAATGAAGCTGAATTCCATACACTTGTTCTCACCATTGATGATTCCCCAATTTGTTCCAGAGATTATAATTTGATTTTCAATATGGCTGCCACATGAGCCATATTGAAAAACTTATAATTGTTGTGAATACCCTACCTCTATAACATCATAACCATAAATTTCTGTTTATGCTGAGAACCACACTACAAATTTAAATAAATTTTCAACAGACGTCCTCTTCACTGCTAACATATCTAATAGTTGTGAGGGAAATCCTATTCCTCATCAACGCCACTGCGCATGCGCAAGGCAGGAATCATCTCACTTCTTTCCTGTGTGTCCAGATGACAACAAGGAAATTTTGATGTTGCATACATTTGTACACGTGATTGCTGTTCCACACTTACAAGCCACACTAGATCATCTCAAGCTTCACTAAAGACAAGCAGTGAGCGGTTCTACAAGCAGAGAACAGGGGTATAAGAGGGTAGAAGGCTCTTGTAAGTAAGTAGTTAGAGAACGTGTTGTGGGATGAGGACTTCATCCCAAAAACAGACGCCCCTCTGTTCAGGTTGTGGGCAACATCAAATCTCTGAATCTCATAGATCCCCTCCCTACCACGCACATCATAGGGTAGATCATGAATCACAGACATCGCATCACAGTGTGCACAGAAATACACACCAGTCACCTTCTAGCCACTTTGATAGACGAACTGACAACAAAAATCGAGCAAATCAGGATAGAATTCCCAAGCGTGCGCCATCCCATACCGTCACACAGTCCAGTTATACGGGCAGGGAAAGCGAAGTGGATGTTACGTCACAATCATACAGTTATAGAACACGTGATTCCCACTCTGCTAGCCATAGATCAGGTGACCGGGATTATTCTACCCCTAGCCAGGCGCAGCCTGAGCAGGGGGTGCGGTTCTGTTGTTAACACTGGTTCTTCATGCAATGGAGACTCTACTTCGGGGGATAATTACAAACCAAATAATTATTCCATTAAAGATATCATTGCAGAACTTTATAATCTGATGCCAGCCTTTCAACCAGATAACAAAGACAACACGGCTGCCAAACCCTTGTTAGAACGTGCTGGGTATGAAGAACCTGTCAGCATAACTGAAGAATTTCATACCCTCCCCTGTCCGTCATATATTGATGACGTCATCAATAAAACCAGAGCTCAACGGATTTCTTCAGACCCTGCTGACATTGCCTGCCCATTGGACAACGATTTAGAACTTCAGAATATCAACGCTACAACCACATTGAATCCCGTCGAACTAGCCTGTCTCATAGACATCGATCCAAGACTGCCCAAGTTCAGCACTCCCCCTACTCAGGGACCAGTCGGAAGTCGCGTTATGCAGTACGCATGCAGACAACTGAAAAGCCATCACAGACGACTCATGGCTGCTCGAAAAAGAAGTTGGAGAATGCCTAAGACAAGCAGATTGGATGATAAGCTAAGTTCTCCAGGACGCTTATCTTCCCCATCCATCCAAGTCATCGTTGAAATCTGCGCTACACAGTCAACGGTCAGAGATACCAGGTCAGGGTACTTCCATTCGGTACATCCATTGCCCCATGGTTATTCACCAGGATCACTGATCCCGTCATCAGTTTCGCCCACCTAAACTCATAAGGTTACACGGATGTATAGACGACTTCCAATCGGCCGATCAGGACAAGTCACGGATCAGATTAAATACAGTGTGCCTTATTCAGCTACTAATGCACTTAGGTTTCCTGGTTCGTCATCAAAATCAGAATTAGTACCCACACAGGACATCACCTACATAGGCACAAGGTTTCTACTCAACATGGGCATAGCAGTCCTCGAGAGGACAGATATTCAAGGGTCAAAGACAGGATATCAAGTGCACTATCAACCCATCAAATCAAGATGCTGGTAGATGTCTTGCCTTAGCACGCTCACCTCCATCCAAGATCTGACCTGCAGAGACAGACTGCAGCTATGACCCCTGCAAAACTGGATGAACACCACCAAAATCCTAGAGCTAGAAACACTAATTCAATCCCCGCCAATTCAAATCTCATAACGGCATTGGTGGCTAACTCGTCAGAACGTCATGCCCTGTATTCGACTCTCATATTCCCCCCTCCCCTCTACATCAACTCTACACAGACGCGTCCGGAGAGGGTTGGGGTGCCCATGTGAACGATATTTCAGTACAGGGAAAATGGTCCACCAAGAAAAGGTGTTACACATCAACTGCCTAGAAATGAGAGAGATATATCTAGCTCTAGAAGCATGGCTAGATTGTCTGCACCACTTTTCAGTAAAGATTGCTACAGATAACTTGACCGTGGTTGCTTACATACAGCACCAGGGTGGGCACAAAATATCAACCTTTGTTGTAGGAGGCTACACGTAGACTCAGTGAGTTGCAGGATCGAAACAAGACACATACCGGGCAAGTTGAATATCCTAGCAGATTACCTATCCCGGGAAAAAAAGATCGTACCCATGGAACGGTCACTACATCCTGAGGTATTCAAGTTGACAACCTACCTATAGGATACTCCAAACCTAGACCTATTCGCCACATGTCTCAACAACAAACTGGGGGCGGTCGGGTAGCCTAATGGTTAAAGCGTTCACTCGTCACCCCAAAGACCAGGTTAGTTTCCCCGACATGGGTACAATGTGTGAAGCCGATTTCTGGTGTCCCCCGCTGTGATACTGCTGGAATATTGCTAAAGCGGCTTAAAATCAAACTCACTCCCTGACTCACTCACTCAACAACAAATGACCAGTCTACATCAGCCCTGTACCAGACACGCTACCTCTCCAGGTAGAGGCACTTTCTATGGACTGGGAGGGAATGTTTGCTTACGCATCTCCCCCATAGGCTCTTCTAGACAGAGTTCTGAAGAAATAGAAGAGACAGACTGTGTCATAATTCTTATAGCCCCAGCATGGCCAAACAGGGCTTGGTTTCCAAGGTTACTACCACTCCTAATGGAAAAAGGTCTGAAACTCCCGATATGTCACGATTTAATGGGACAACCGAAAACGGACATATTTTACGGCCGCCTCGACAATCTCCAACTTCACGCTTGGAAGTTATCTCGCATAAAATGCAAGCCGTCGGTTTCTCTAAATCGGCTGCACAAAGAGTGGCAAGCTCATGAAGACCAGCATCGTCTGCCCTATGCAAAAACAGATGGGACAAGTTCGTCATGGACATAAAGATACCTATTGTTGTCGAATTCTTACTGTACGTCAGAAACGACAAGAAATTTCAACATGGCATTATCAAAGGCTATGGATCCGCCCTGGCATAAGTATTACAAGACGATGGCCTATCTATAGGTACCCACCCAGTACTGAATTGACTCATGAAGTCTTTTGCACTGGAAGACATTGTAACACCACGTATATTTCCAAAATAGAATCTATCTATAGTATTGTCATCATTGATGAAACCACCTTATGAGCCCATGAGTAGTGCAACATTACTATTAGTTTCCAGGAAAAACGTGTTTTTTTCTGCTAGCCATGGCCACTGCGGCTCGTGTATCAGAATTACACGCTATCTCACATGTCCACTGTAACTTATACCCAAATATGGAAATCAGTGTCGTTTAGATCACTTCCGGATTTTATTGCCAAAACCAGTCGTCGACTTTCGGCCCACTCGGAGCCAGGCAATGTACGATACCAGCCTTAAGTAAAAGTGTGGACTATCTGAAAAGATTACTTTGTCCCATAACAACCTTGAGATACCTCATTACAGATACTCAACCCCACAGAAAGCAGAGAAAACGCCTTTTATCTCTTGCAAACCCTCGTCAGAAAAGGACATAAGCAAGGGTACTTTGCAGGTGGCTCAGATCGGCGATTGTCGATAGTTCAAACTGGCACATGTCTCCACACCAAATTGGGGAAGCTGCAGGCCTCACAAGATCAGAGCTCTTGCAACAAGTCTAGCCATATAGAATACAGTCTCCATTGAACAAGTCGTAGCTAGCCGCCAGTGGAAGTCCCATAACACATTGTCAAACTTTAACTCACGAGACATACAGACCGATCTGGATGCACTGTATACACTGGGACCCTTGGTGGCAGCCCAGGTGATAGTCTCCAAGTAGCCTTGACACCCCTTCTTCTCTCGGGAACTTGGGGAGGGGGGTGTGTGTGTGTGTGTGTGTGTGTGAAGATTTCAGAATACCTCATAAACTCAGGGTAAGTTGACCTCTGTACTTAGTTTGCTATTGGATAGTGGACAAGTCAAGTGGCAACACTGAAATCATAGATCGAAAGGAAACAAGTGATATACGGTTTCTACATGATAATCTAGGATGTATGATGTACTACCACCGGAAGTGACGTCATGGAAGACCTCACGTCCGGACTAACGTCAAAATATGTTGAATATCACTATCCATAAGGGCATAACGGAAACTACGTCATAAGGTGGTATGAAATCATAGAAGACATATATCGCAAACGAGGTCATTGAATGACAACCGGAAGTGACATCACAGGTGATGTCATCACTGGAAGTGACATCATAATATGTCTAAGTATCACATTTGTGGCTAAAGATATGTATATTATATTCATAATATGACGTTTTCTTTATGTCTAGCCTTGAAGTTAGGTAGGTCATTAGACATATCCCATTTGGTCCCTTTTGTATACAATCCTTGTATTCCCACTTCACAAAAGCCAAATATCTAAGGGGTGCTAAATACCAGATACCACCGGTCCCTCTGGTGTATACTGGCTATGATGTAATAGAGGTAGGGTATTCACAAGAACTATCTAACAATAGTTATCATTGTGTATAATTCTAAGAATGCTACCTCTATTACATCAGGAATTAATCCCTCCCACCTCCCCAAATATCTGCATCTAGTTGATGAGGGTCATGGGTTGAAAGAAGTGAGGTGATTCCCGCCTTTCACATGCGCAGTGGCGTCTCTGACAAGGGATAGGGTTTCCCTCACAACTATTAGATATTTGGGCAGTGAAGAGAACGTCTGTTGAAAATTTATTTAAATTTGTAATGTGGTTCTCAGCATAAACAGGAATTTATGGCTATGATGTGTTAGAGGTAGTATTCTTAGAATTATACACAATGATAACTATTGTTAGATTTATGGCTATTACTCAGACATTTTTTTCAAAAGATAATTTGGTACATATGTAGTTAGTAGTGTGGCCAAACATGTTAGCTCCGTTTTTCACGACATTATAAATTTTTACCTTAATTTCACCTTTGAACATTGACCTTATTGAAAGATGCAGCTTCCTATGGCCATTACCAAGCCATTTTATTGAATAAATAATGAAATTTGGTATATTTGTAGTTAGTTGTGGGGCTCGACACATATGTTCCATTTTTCTTACAATATTTTACATTTTGACCTTTATTTAACCTTATTGTTACACCATGCTCTTGTATTGCCCAAACCCAATGAAGCTGAAACTTTGTACACTTGTTCCCACCAATGATGATTCCCCAGTTTGTTCAAGAGATTGGAATCTTGATTTGTAATATGGCCACCACAGCAGCCATATTGAAAAATCTGTTAATGACTGATATTCAACTATCTTTTTTTCAAAATGTAATAAAATTTGATAAATGTGTAGTTAGTAGTGGTGCTCAACGTAAATGTTCCGTTTTGTCAATATTGTGACCTTGATTTCACCTTTGCATTTTGATCACACTGATTCTCATACTTTACAAAGAAAGTGTTGTCCCAAATATAACATTTGTTACATTTGACCACTTTCTAAATGGCATTGTGTGTTCATAGCTTTCGGCCATGGGAGCCTAGCCAATTTACACTTGTCAGAGGGGTAAACAAAATACCAGATCTAGACTACAAGTTGTCGGACTTTCGTTTTTGTGGAAGCTTCGGTGACTGAGTGGTTTGGATCGCTGACTTTGTGTGCTGGCGATTAGGTGCCTCACTCTGGCAGTGTGGGTTCGAATCCTGGACGGTACTCAACCAAAAAAAGGACGAGAATCTGTACTTTACAAAGAAATAATACATTTGTTAGATTTGACCACTTTCTAAATGGCATCCTCAGAAACTACTTGACCAATGAAGGTGAAATTTCACATGCTTATTCACACAAATGATGACATTGGTTCCAGATATTCTGGACTGATTTTCAATATGATCGCCATGTAAGTTATATTAAAAAAAATGTTTAATGGCCATAACTCAAACATTTTTTATTAGAATGTAATGAAATTTGGTACATTTTGTAGTAAGTATTTGGGCTGAACATATATGTTCTGTTTTTGAACAATGTTTCAAATTGTGACCTTGAATTTTACCTTTGCACTTCAACCATAATGAAAGCTGAAACTTTTTATCTTACACTACCATATATTTTTACACTACCATATGTTTGCAAGATGGAATGAAATTTGGTACATGTGTAGCTAGTAGTATGGATAAACCTGTATGTTCAATCTTGGCCAATGTTTAATATTCTGAGCTATATTTGACCATGCCCCTAAATTCTCTTGCATGCACATGTATTTGGCTGTGTGAACTTCTGCTCTGAAATTGCCAAATTGACAAGATGAACTTGGGCTTGGGTGTTTCGCCTTAAGGTGACATCATATTTTGTTTAAATCATCAGATTTTGTTAGCTACCGAATATCAATGCTGACAGCAACTTTTGTTAATTGTCCGTCTTTCTTGACCTTTTAAACTGTTGACTACCTATGCAGGTGAGGTACATGGAGTGGCACTACTCTTTGTGTATTCAGCAGTATAAGCATGTTCATAGTGCCCAAATCCAGTCATACATCACTTTAGTAAGTAATAGTAGTACTTCAGGAAGTATAAACCCACAGACCTGACATTTTGGTCTAAACTTAGGATAGAATATATAACATTGAATTTGCTATAATCCCTGTGATGTCAATCTATTGACTCATCTGTACAAAATAATTGAACTGATTCTCTACTATATTATAGTGCCACATCAGAAGAAGAACTTGCTTGATGCAGGAGCTACACACATACGTCACTTGGAGGCACTGAAAAAGGAATTCAAGGTACAGTCATCTACAGCTCTACCTACCTAACTAAGATGAGTAAGATGTGATAACTAATCATAATTATAATAACCTTAATTGGAGAACTGAGGACTGGGTATGGATTCCATCATCTGTATAATTCCTGCAAGTGTCGGCATGTAGAAAACCAATTGTAGGAGTTCATCCAAATCGTCTCCTTATAAAATGTCTACATGGTAAAAGCCTACTGACAATCAGTTTCTGTAATGTGGATAAACGTTACAATTATACTTGAGAACATCTACTGGTCACTATTCAGCGGTACTGAATGGCCGCTGTTACAGATATGTTACAGATATGTTACAGATAGGATGTGAAGCAGATTTTGAAATTCCTTCCTCACCATTTCAATTTCATTGGGCTGTTATGCCAGACCTTAGGCTTTTGCAAATGATAATCCTCTGAAAAATAGTGTTACCATTATCATATTTTATTTGCTTTCGTAACTATTTGCTGCTCATAAATACTGCAGATGTCCTGAAGAGAGATGCCAATGATTGTTTTCTGTTGGGAATAACATTCTTCATCTCACCTAAAATGGACTATCATTAAAAATTGATATTGGTTTTGAAATGGGTTATATTTTGGAATGGTTATCCTGTCAGCCTCTGAGAGCAGTATGGCTTGCAGCCAGAGAACAGGTGTCAGCAGTAGATGAACTTGACATGGCGACAACCCGACTTCGTGTCCGCCTGCAGGATGAACCTCAGTCAGAGATCCCTCAGCCAAATGTAATAGAGAGAGGACAGGTACAACATCACGTTATCATCATGCTGTTCCTCTTGTTTCTGTATGCTGTATGAAGCATTCTAATCACTGTGTGAAGGTTATGGATGACATGCATGTTAAGCATTGATTGACGGATGTATGACATGTATGTATGACACAGACTGACGGATGTATGACTTGTATGTATGACACTGATTGACGAATGTATAACTTGTATGTATGACACTGACTGACGGATGTATGACTTGTATGTATGACACTGATTGGTGGATGTATGCCATGTATGTATGACACTGACTGACAGATGTATAAAATGTATGTATGGCACTGATAGATGTATGACATGTATGTATGCACTGATTGATGGATGTATGACATGTATGTATGACACTGATTGGTGGATGTATGACATGTATGTATGACACTGATTGGTGGATGTATGCCATGTATGTATGACACTGACTGATGGATGTATGACATGTATGTATGACACTGATTGGTGGATGACATGTATGTATGACACTGATTGATGGATGTATGACATGTATGTATGACACTGATTGGTGGATGAATGACATGTACCCGGTATGTATGACACTGATTGATAGATGTATGACATGTATGTATGACACTGATTGATGGATGTATGACATGTATGCACTTATTGGTGGATGTATGACATGTATGCACTTATTGATGGATGTATGACATGTATGTATTGCACTGATTGATGGATGTATAGCATGTATGTATGACCTTGATTGATCAATGTATGACTTATATGACTCTGATTGATGGATGTATGACATGTTTGACATGTATCTATGAAACTGATTGATGTCATGTCATAGGTTTAGGTCTTTAGTTGTTCCATTTGATGATTGAAATTGTAAGTTTTTGTGCATTACAATCTGTATATAGTGAGCATATGTTGACTGTAGCAAGCTGTATGAAGTAAGGATTAATCATTTTACTCCTCCAAATGGCTCATGACATGATATTCAGTGGAGCTTCACATTTCATTTCCAAGAGCACAACTGTTAAAGATACCATCATCTTTGCACACATATTGACCAAGGGATCTGCTGTTGCCTTTTACATAGTATGCAAATTTCCTTATTTTAACTTCCCCATTTCCAAACAATAACTGCCATCAAATATTAATGAGTGAAAATTGGTGCCATAAATATGATTTTTTCCAGAGTTACATCCCTTGCTTCATGTTCTTCATCATTAACTTCCTATTTTTCACAACTATATGAACAAACTTCTAATGTGGCCCATGGCAAGGAATGGTGAAAATGCTGTTTTCTTGGTTTTCTTGAACATTGTTTCTGTGAATCTGCACAAGCAGAGAGTTTATTCCGATGATAACACCTTCAGAAGTTTCCAGTATGTTTAGACATTCATCATCAGCACTCCCCTTTTGCCATCATTGACAAGTATGTTTGAAGATAACAGGTATTACATCTCAGACATTGATTCACTTCTTATGGTGAAATGTTAGTTGCCACAGTACAAGTTTATGTTACATTTACACAAAGCCACCTACCTAGATATCTTCTGCAGTATCAATTACGAATGTTTGATCGATATATTTCTTTGGTAACTATAGCATTTACAATCCAAGAAATAAACATTCTAAAATCCTAACTGATGAGGATTAGAATTGATGGATTATAAAACAAACAAACAATCCCAGCAGCGAGGGGGCAGATACATTCCACTCCATCTTTACATGTTTATTTATGTGCACATGCCATGTACAGTCTCCACAGGACAAACCATCTCGCTAACTGGTGTCATGTTGTTTGTGTTGTGCAGGTGGCAGTGCACAGGATGCGCCTGGTTGGAGACAAGGCTAATGCAGAGGTGGAGCTGAGGAAGAAACTTGGACAACTGCTGTACCTAACCAATTTGGCAAAGGTGAAGTTAATGAATTATGTGTTTTTTCCAACATATGATTGGGTAACAGTGAATGTTAGGCTCCTTCAGTGTCAGTAAGTATTTATGATGGGAATAAGATAACACTGATCAGCATTATCTCTTGGGTGGGGACTGTGTCTGAGTAAGATTTGATGACCTGTTAAGTTGAAGCTCCCTTTCAAGGTCAGGTATTGGCATTATAAAAACTTCATGTTGTAACAGCACTAATTATGTGATTGGTGTATATTGGAAAGGCGCTTAAAATTTCCAGTGAGGGGCAGTCGAAGTGCCAGTGAGCTTTCCCGCATCACTGAGTTCATGTTTATATCCCTTTTCAGCAATAGGTCTCCTCTGGTGGAAATGTCCTCAAAAGATAATTAATATTGAGCCATGTTATGTGTTTCAGTCTCAGGAAGGGAAGGATGGAAATGGCTCCAACCCTGATCCCTGCCCTATATGTCAGAAAGCCCTTGGGGTAGAAGTGAGTACTGACGTCAGGGCAAGTTGTTCCACAGCAGCCAGGTCATCTTGAGGAGAAACTACTTGTAATTGGAAACTGAAGTCACATTGGCTTCAAGGTCACAGGTCATAGCAAAACAAAGCAGTTGAAGGCCTACCAATATGATTTGTTTGTGATATGATATTGGGACTGTACAGGTATTCAGTCCTAAGTTTATAGGATTGAAATGTTATGGGTAGGGTCTATTGATAAAAAGATAATAAACAAAACATGATAAAGGAATGAAGTATTCTGTACTGGTAACTACCTTTTGTATTTGGTGCAGTGGAGTGTTCTGCTGTGTGGTCACTGCTACTGCCTGGACTGTATACGGATTATGGTGGAACAATACAGCTTTGGGGGGCGCAATCGTTCACTGAAGTGTGCCCTGTGTCGCCAGGCAACACATCATTCCGACATCTCATATGTCAGTACAAAGAAATCAGCTGAGGAAGAAGAAGAAGATACAATAGTAATAGTAAGTGTCATACATAGCACTTCTCTCCTATTGTTACAAGTTAATTCAGACATCGGTACATACGGAACTAAGTTGTGAAATCAGTAAACAACCACACACAGTTGATAAATAACACACAGTATTAGTTTTACAATAAAAAAGCCAACAAATATGTGGCAACAGCAATAAATAACAGGCCCTGTACACAAATCATTGCACTCACAAATGTCCAGAATTTGTCAGTCGAATGTCTTGAATGAGGCAAATGCTCCGTTCTTGAATCCAGGAAACAGTGTTGGAAACAGGCAGAAAAGTCGGCCACTTACCATAGCCATACCAACCCACGACATTTTATGAGAGTTTCAATTCTTAAACTTTTCCTAACTCACACTATTCATTTCATCCTTCTTCTTCCGATCCTTATGTGGAAATGTCCTAAAACAAAGTTTCCAGCATCTAAGCCCATTTCACCCAAACACCCCTTGCATCACCATGGTAACCAGCCCAACAATCGGGTCACCAAAATCCTGTGCACCATGACGTAAGTGGTCTGATCACCTGACATGTTCATTCTCTTTCTCTTTCGCCTCCATGTGGAGATGTGCTATTGTTCGAGAAAATGTCTTGAGTTTTCTGTTCTTTTTTTGTTTTTTGACAGGAGTTCAAGTATATTTCTTGCAAACTTTATGGGGAAGGACCAGATATAACGTCCGTCCTGCAAGAAGTTTTGTCATATTTTTTCACTGGTGGATCCTCACATGATATGCTTTGGCTGTAGTGGTGTTTGCAAATCCGGTATCTGGAATGTTCCCACCTATCAGACTAGACTTTTACTATATACCTACATAAATGTCAGAAGCGGAACACTGACCGGAGATCAAAATCATGGGATGCCAAACATGGACCTTTGTTTACTAAGAAGCCCAAGTGGGATTATATGAAAGCTTGCATCCATTCAACTGTAAAATCTGTTGTCAAGCAACCACCGTCTTCTACTATCACATCCTTATTGTTCAAGGAGGATGCTGTCTCAGACAGTTTTCTGTATGACAAGATTCTCACCAACTCCTCACTATCAACTAATTTAAGCGTTCCACTTTCAAAGACTATTACTCAGTCAACTACATCAGACAAGTGCATGGTTTAGCAGTTACTGCTATGGACCCTTCCACAGTACTACATCCGACTACTGAAGCAGTTGGTTTTCAACGACCATCAACTGGATGACATCTATCATCGACTTCATGGAATAGCACAGTTGACCAGTCGACATTTTTTTTCGCCAAGTCCTGTCTCTTCTCTTCAGGCTCCTCTGGTTTTACCCATCAAAGTTGCTTTTGATTCTTCCCATACAATTTCAACGTCGCCTACTGGAAATAGGAGAAGTAGGGAACGTTCCCGACCCACAGCAGATGATTGACAGGAGAAACCTCACCCGGCCAGGGAACGACACTCCAAAGATCGACCACTAGGATCGAATCGCAAGGGTGGACATTCGCCATTCACGGTAACAATCTTCCAAGGTTGCCATTCAAAGGATCGATACTCCAAGAGTCATTCAACAGACAGATGGTCTACAGATCGACTTTTTCAAGATCGTTTACCAAGGGTTCGATCATCGCAGGACCTAACACGAAACAGAAGGGAGATCATCCTCCTCCTGATGAGACTTATTCCAACTCTCCGGAGCGTCATCCATCCACAGATCGATCCTACACCTATGACCATGGTCTCTCCAGTTCCACCAACGGTCATCGTAATTCCAATTGATTGCCATCCCATCTCAACGCCATCCCTATCGACACTTATCTCGAAGCTATGGATAGGACAGGGAGCTTGATTGGGACCGATAAACGTCTCCGTCACACTGATATCGACCCATGCGGTACCATCCGTTTCCCTCCCCTGATCGTTACAGGGATCATTGATATCACCCTTATTCGGATTACTGTTCAATGCTTGATTACTATTGGTATGATCCTCCTCCACATCGACATCAACATTGACATCGACATCGAGATGAGGATCAATATGAGGATTGACGCCGACCTTCCTCTCATTGCTACGCGTCCAGACCAATGATCACCCAGCGCGTTGCACTCTCCGTCAGTGGCTCCTCCTTCTCAACTTCCCTCGGCAGGTCCTTCTACTAGTACGGTTCCTCCAGGGACAGCCCCCTTACTGACTTCATGGGATCATAGAGATCAGACTTCCCTGTTGGTTTCGCTTTTTGATTCTCTTCTCCAGTCTTTGTAGGTGGCTCTTCAGCAGCGCTCCAGACAGTCAACTGTACAACCCAGAGACTCTACAACCACGAATGCATCGCAGGTGGCTCCTGTTACTTCAACCTAGGCTTGACACCACGCCTACACCACCAGTTTATTTTTCAAGATCTTCACTACCAATGGAAGGTGCTCCCATTTGGAACATCATGAATAAATGATTGAGGTCCACTCTTTTGTTTATCATTTGTACGCTCAGGTTCCCAGATCAAGTACTCATTGGAGAGTCAACACTCATCCGTAGAGACAATATCTTTGACCTAGAACGTTGTGTCCTAGTAATGTAAAGGGTTCTTTTCACTCAGTGCAGTGATCTACCCGAATCATGAGTTCATATCTTCAGATGCTGTTGTGTGACAATCTTCTGGTTGAAGCATGTTTAGCACCAGCTTCCTCGTGTATATCTCAGGGTTGTATGACCAATACAGGCTACGATTCCTGACATGGGTACAATGTGTGAAGCCCATTTCTGGTGTCCCCCGCCGTGATTTTGCTGGAATATTGCTAAAAGCGGCGTAAAACCATAATCACTCACTCACTCACTCAATACAGGCTAGGGAAATGAAATGCATAGTGAGAGATAGGATAAGTATATAAATATATAATTTACTGTAAAATTTGCAAATCTTCTGCCACTAAAAGTCATGAGCAATAAACTTATAATATATACTGGCTCATAACACTATATATATTCAGATAATGATATATAAACTCAAGGGATAACAAACCTGCCTATTGTTAATTCATGGTGTAAATGATCAGTTATATGGAGAAAATTTAGCATATTAATTTCATTAAAACATATCTCCACACTAAATGCTTTGACACTGTCCTCTGTTCAGGGCAGCCACTCGACCAAGGTAAAGGCAGTTGTCAGTTGTATCAAGAAAGTGTGCAAGGAAGACCCAAAAGCCAAAGCTCTTATCTTCTCAATGGTAAGTGACGAAGCATATGTGTTTTTACATGTGTCATTTAATGCATATTTGGGTATTACTTCAAATAACACTTTCTCATGGGATAAACATGCTCAGAAAGCGGCATCTCAGGCAAGAAAAGTTCTACTATGTGTATTGAGAGAATTGTTTGGGCTTAACCCAATTCCTGTTGATTTTCTTTTCAAGGTTTTTGATGGTTAAGTAGTATTTGAGTTAGTTTTTAACTTATCCTGATTACTCCTTGATGCATTACTGCTATTTTTTGACAGAAAGACAAAGTGTGAGTTCCAGCTGAAGAAGTTGTTCCAACTAGTTGTGTGGCTATTACCATCGCACAGCACCCATGTGACCACAGAAGTGATGATGTCACATATCTTCACATTATTTCTTGTCACTGACTGACAACGGTAGTTGTGTTTTAAAACAAAAGCCCCAGCAACCTACTGGCATCCTTTGCTTTTTGTTTAATTCAATGTTTCACATGTGATTTATATCATTGCTATGGTTTGTGACTTCATGTCTTACATTTATTTTTTCTGTTGCATTAATATATTGCGCTTGATAGTGGCTACTGGAAATTAAAGTGTTTTTTCACTTTCACAAAGGCGTAATTTTAGCTTTTAACTGCCAAGTTTTGGTTAAGAATTGTCTGCACTTTCTCATTGTTGAATGTACACATTATGATTATAACCTCTGCTTATATTGCAGATTTATGCCCCGTTGTATTCATTGCCATGGTAACAAGTCTTGCAGGATTCCTCACCCCTTGTGTCTGGACTGTACCAACCCGTGTCTAGTAGCTGCTAAGTGTAGCTTCTGCCCTCCCCTCTCTCCTACAGCCTTCTACAAGTATCGGAAGGTATCAGGGAAGCACCATACTTAGCGGACTACAGGCAACCTAGGATGTCTGTCTCCCAAGAGACCCCTGCAACACCTATAGTCGTAGCTATGCTGTCCTCTTTGAGCTGGAAGCCTCCATCTTCTTCTACGCCTGTCTGCACGGCCTCCCCTACGTCTATTCAGACACCAACAACTAGGCAGACAATGACAGGCACTCATGACTACACAGGCTCCTGCGCCTATCTACACTTCTGTGACCACCCAGGCATTGGCGCCACCTCTGGCACCTCCGAACTCCTAGATGGCAATGCTTACCCAGGCGTATCAACTACTGTCAGCGGCTCTGAGACACTACATGGTGCTCCACGCCTTTGCCCCTCCAGTGCCTTTGCGCCTCCAGTCCACCTGGACCAATGCTGAAAGACATGATCATGCCAGCTTTTGAGGCTCCTCGATTCAAGAAAGAGCACTTCTCTATCCATGCCTTTGAGTTGGAAGATGATCTCCACCGCATTGCTGGCTTCTCTGAGCCTACGACTGTTCGAATACCAGACACACAGTGAGCCTTTGTAGAATCAGAGATTCGGTGCTCTCTAGAACCCTTTTCAGCTCTTGCATCCTTATCTCGAGCTATTGATCAGACTAATCCTACTTGCGTTGATCATCTGATCATCGTTATGACCCACCAACAGCCCAATCATCTCAAGGCTGCTCTTATGGAGATCACTATGAGCCAGTGCATTGGCTACCTAGCACTCACTGAGTGTGATTCTGAGTTCAAGAGAAGGTTACTACGTCAACCCTAGTCTGCCTCTTCCCTCTTGAATGGAGAGAGATATCAGAGAGATATCTGAGACCCACTCTCGCACCTAGTTACACTCAGGATGCTTTGAAGCATGTGTCCAAACATGTGTGCAAACATGCGTTGCACAAGTTTTTCAAGGCTGGGAATTATCAGCCATGGCAGAATTTTCTCAAAGACCATCTGTTTTCATTTCAGAGGTTGGGGTAGAGGAAAACATCAGGGCAATTACCAACCTCACCTGGATAAGTACCAGGGCAGAGTTGGTGTCTATAGGTGTAAGCGCTGAATCAACGGACCTCAATGACTGGGAACTCTCATCCCCAGTCATTCCAGTCATTGACACCCTAGTAGGTGGGAGGCTAGGCCGATTTTGGCAAAGTTGGGCCATCTTAGAGGACCCATATGTGCCCAACATCCTCTGCCATGGTATCGTCTCTCACTGATAAACGATCCACCTTTGACTACACTCTGCCAGCGCGAGTGCTTCACTTCAGCAGGATCTGAAATCCAGAGGATGCTTACATCTGCGCCCATTTCAGCAGTTCCTGGCTCGTCAGGTGCCAGGATCAGTCCATGATTGGTTGACGATGAAGTCGAATGTCTTAGGAGGTGTCTCCATAAATGAGCTAACACCTACCTCACACCTGTTTGTAGATGCCTCTCTTCAGGGATGGCTTATCTGGAGGACTAATCATATTGTGTCAGGGCTGTGGTCAGATGAGCAGCACACATAAACAACTTGGAACTGGAAGCCCTCTTTCTGGCAATATCTCACTGTCAGATTTGTCTTCAGAATGCCAAGGTAGCCGTCTCAACAGTCAATATCACGGTGGTTTGGTGTCCATGCAACCAGGGGACGACACACTCTTAGTCCCTGCTGCAGCAGATGTCCCGGTTCTCCCATCTGGTAGATTGACTGGACTTGCAATTTCTCCTCCAGCACATCCCAGGTTGCCAGAACGTCGTAGCGGATGCTCTATCCAAGCCAGATAAGATGGCCCCCTAAGAGTGGAAACTCCACACCGAAGCCTTTAACCTGGTGTGTCACCATCTCAGCTATACAAACATAGACCTGTTTGCCACCAACCAGAACTTTGAGATGCTGACTAATATCTCTCCAGTTCCGGATTCACAGGCCTGGGCTGTAGAAACTCTCAGCGTCCATTGGGAAGGCTAAAGAGCGTACGCTTTTTAGCCACATGCACTTCTTCCCAGGCTTCTTCAAAAGATCAGAGCAACCCACAGCCTCGCTCTGACTTTCATCGTGCCTTGGTGGCTGGCAAGGGGCTGACTTGGCCACAAACGACCCACTAGAACCAGCAGATTAACCAAACCTTCTGATCCATCCACACAGCATGTTACCACACCCTTCTCCAAGCAGGTTTCACCTGCACGCCTGGTACATCTTCAAAGGGCATTAGGTGCCAAGGGCTATCCGGCTCTAGCAGCTAAAGCCATAGCCGTGGTGCACAGACATTCTATCCAGGGACTTTGAGTCCTTTTGTAAGGAGAAACACCAGGACACCACGACTGTGTCTTCCAAATTCTTGGCTGAATTTCTTCTGTTTTTGTGCAGCAAACAACACCTCAAGGGCAGCACCATTACCTAGTGGCCCTGGACTTTTTTACGAGGGACTCTTGAGGATCACATCTGACCATCTGATTCAGAAGCCTTAAGGAGTAATGCAGGATAAGTTAAAAAAATTAGTAAAATCTAAATATATTTTACTTTTGTATAATTATCCTGCATTACTATGTCTAAATTGGCCCACCCATAGCAGAGGTGTGGAGATACTTGACGTCATCACTTCCGTGGTCATGTGGATGCTGTGTGATGTATTAACCACACAACTAGTTGGATCAACTTCTTCCTCCACTGGACCACACACAGCTTTGTCTTTCTGTAAAAATATACCCGGTAGCAGTAAATGAATTAAGGAGTAATGCAGGATAAGTATACAAATGTACAATATATTTAGATTTTGCTTAGTATATATGGTTTGGAGGTTTGGGGAGTAGAAGTAGTTTAAGAACTATGTTGGCTTGTAATGATTCCTAGATGTGAAGCTTTTTTGGTTGAATTTATCGTTCATTTGTAGTTTTGCATATAAATGTTTCGTAAACTATTGGATTAAATGAATGAATATGCCATATTCAAGATAAATCCCCCAAAATGTTAATTTTTATCATATCCTGCATTACATATTGCATTCTCTCCTGTTTCATGTTGAAAACATGACTGAAAACTGCATACTTTGAGAGACCTGTTCATGAACAAGGTCAAACCTATCCCTTGCCATCGTCTGTTTGCACAGCGGTTGTCTCATTTAACCATCTGTTTCATGTTGTTGGTTTGTTAATTCATCTTCATACATATTATGATGCAGTGAAGTATTTCACTGTATGTCGAACACATGGTTGGATTTCCTGTCATTTTTGCTTGAGCTGTGATAGTCAGGCTTTATTCTAAATGGCTCCATGTGCCAGCTGAGGTACACACAAGATATATTGTTAATGATTATGTATTTTAAGAATTAGATAAATTATTTTTGCTGCTTTTTGTTTTTTGCCTGCTAGTTTTTCCCATCTCATTCATATTTTTGTGCCTCTTTTCAGGCTCGCTGTGAACATAATATTTTAACATTTGTCAGTGTGTTTGTAACATAGATTAAGAAGAAAGGTTATTCTGTTATGTGCGAATTCTTGCATGTTTTGCTTTGTTTGCAGTCTTGCATGTTTAATTCTCATTGCCAAAGATCTGTCAGTTTGAAGTCTGCCAAGGAAGCCAATGATGAGTGTTTGTGTGCCACTTGTTGGCAAGATGTGACTAGTGTCGAACACTTAATTTCACAGACTCCAAGTTATATTTCAGGTGTGCCAGAAGCGAAGTACGGAGCAGCTTCGGACATCATGGAGAAATCCACACCACTGACATTCTTCATCCCCACGACCCCACATCCAGTGGGGCATCAGAGACAACACAAGGGCAACTCGACCCGGTCCTATGGCACTGATTGGATCAGAGTTGATCTCCAGCTCTCTCATCCTACTCTCCTTACTTGTGTCGTTGATGACGGTTGTGTCTCGGTATTTTTTTAACAGCCCAGTCTCCATCAGGTGGTTAGGTTAATTGGCATGCAGGCTAGATCAAGGAGTTGATTGTAGACTTGCATCAGACTTTGGCATCCACATTGCTTCTGCATGGATACAGGGATTTCTATGAACTTCCTCTGTTGGCATGGGTTGTAGACATCTAGTGGGAAGGACTAAAAGCGTACGCTCTATGCATGCTTGGACCGCCTGCAGAAAAGCCTTGAAGGTGAAAGGCTACCCCTGACAGGCGGCGGTATATGAG